CTCTAAGCAAGATCAAAGACAAAACCTTTGTCTTATACCCACTCTTGCTACCGTTACAGAGTTCTCACAACTCTCTCTATAGAAAAGCTCCAGCGACTTTTCTTTTTCTTAAACGGCTAACCCTAGAAAATTCTACTTCAACCCCTTTTATATTCGTAGGGTAAGTAAATCTTCTATGCTTTCCTTTTCTTGATTCTCACGAATCCAATACCATTTATTACGAAATTTTTCTTTACTGAATAGATCCTTCTTGTTTGTGCATAATCCACGTCAACTTCTTTTTGCCACGTCACTTTCGTTTTCGTGTTGGAACAACTTCGTATGTGTTCCAGCAGGTTGTATCTTGTTACAACAAAAGCTCCTCTTTCAATAAGTACATGATTAATAATTATATTTCATTAATGTCATCATTTTTCATAGAGTTTTATACTTGCCAAATCTTATACACTATTTTTTTTACTTATATAATTTTCAATATATACAATTTACTTGTTTCTAACATTAAATAATACCAATGGCATCATAGGTCGAATATTTCAATTTTCTTTATGATATTCTATAAGTCTATATTGATAAAATAAGTATGCTTGCAAATATACTTTTTTTTTTTGCATGGTTGTGTTTATCTTAAAATTTTAAACTGAAGTTTCTATAACCTTTCTAATTTTTTTTTCCAATTTATATACCTTATTATGTTTATAATTCGTCTTTTTACTTATTTTAATTGACATTTTTATTGTATGAATTATTTGTTTCTTTTATAGCTTATGTCCTCTCTATATTTCATCTTAATTTTTGTTTCTTAATTAGTATGGATTATTAGAAATTTACTTTTTACTATTTGATTAGTATATTGACATTTATTTTGTTAGTTTTCCATTTTAATTTTTCTTTATTCTTAATTATTTTGAAGTATTAACACATGTAATCATCTTATCATACTACAACAAAACATTCTAATTTTGACTATCAATTTGGTCTAAAATTGGTCAAAAACAGCTATTTCTGACTAATATTTGACCAAAATCGATGGTCGCAAATGGAATTTGGTCAGAATATAATCAAAACGTTTTGACCAATAAAAATGGTCAAAATTTAGGGTTTGACCAACAAAGTACTCAAAATTTTGATTATGACCAATAAAATCGTCAAAATTTTTTGATCAATCAAAATAGTCGGAACTATATATTTTGACCAATTTTAGACCATATATTCTAACTAATTTTTGACCAACTTAAATATTTAAAATTTAGAACTATATTCTGATCAATTCGAAAAAATTGAAATTGAAATTTAGAATATTTGATTTATAATAATTAAAATTAAATTAAATAATTTAAAAAACTATAATATAAAATATTCAAAAAAATATATTCGAAAATATAAAATTCAAATTTAAAATATTTGATTTATAATAATTGCAAAATATTCACTCAATCAGCAATTAAAATATTTCAAAATTTAACTATTTGAGATATGAAACCCATTTACGTTTTTCACAAAGTAAGTGTTATTTTATAGAGAAAGTCAAAGTTTCATCCCTCCCATATTGGTAATGTGCGCCAAATACAATAGAAGTGTTCTCCTCAATAGTTGGTCGATAATGTTGTGACCAACTTCTGTCAAGTATTTATTCGTCAAAAATTACTCACGAAATTTCGACCAAATTTTTTTTTAGTCAACAAATGGTAAGAATATTTTGACTATTTACTGACCACTTGTATTAGTAAAAAAAAAGTTTGATCATATTTTGACGAGTTTAAATTTTCATAATTTTTTGGTCGAAAATTTGTCAACAAATATTTTGACCAAGTTATTGATAAAAAATTTGGTCAAAAATTAACATGTTTTATTGACCAATTTTCAATCAATCTTCTTTTTCGCAAGTTTTCGACCATTTTTTGACAAATTTACGATCCGTTAAGAATTGGTCGAAATTTTTCGACCATTTTTTGACTTTTATATTTCACCATATTTTCTTGACCAATTATAACGAAAATAAACATTCGTCTAAAATTGGTTGAAAATGGTCAAAATAGTTTTTGACCACAAAAAAAATTGGTAAAAAATTGATATGATTTCTTGTAGTGTCAATATTAGATACATGTCACGATATGGTGAGTTATAAATATGGTGAGTTATAGTTTTGCTTACTTGTTAAGCTTATATAAAAAATGAATTGCGAACAATATTTTTGATTTTGAAATTAATAACTCCTATAATTTGACCAAATGTAATTAGATTATAAATTATGACCGTCACAAATATTTAAAATTTATGTTATTATTATATCTTATTAAATCGTCAATTTATTATATTTATCTCATACTAAATTATTTCATACATGTTATTATAAATGTAAAATGATACTTACAATATGACTTCTCCTTAATTTTGTCTTAAACTATGTTTATGTTCAAAAATTCGATAAAATATTTTTTTGTTGAAAATTTAGATAATTTGAAATGAAAAGAATGTGTTTTTTTAATATGACAATTTAGAAATATTATCTTTTTTTAGTTGGACAGGTTTTTTCTTTCCTTTTTGTTATTTGTTTCATAATCCTTGTTTAGAATAAATATTTTAT